GCCTCAGCCTTCCAAGTAGCCGGAATTACAGGCATGTGCTACCACACCCGGCTGATTTTTTGATTTATTGTAGAGATGAGGTCTCGCTGCCCAGGCGGGTCTTGAACCCGCGGGCTCAGGCAATCCACTCACCTCAGCCTCCGAAAGGCACGGGATTACAGGCTGAGCCACCGAGCCCAGCTAAGGTATTTTTTTTAACAGCAGGCCCAACATCCTGAGACATGACTTGTGAAACAGTGGTTTTCTGGAGGCATTTCTCAGCCAGAGAGGGAAGACTTGTAAGGACAGAAGTTCGTTTATCAACCCTGTTTATGTAACTGAGTATCTCAGCCTTAAAATGCATTTAAAAAATTTTTCCCTCTCTTTCATCTTACATTTAGAGCTATAGCCTTGAAATATGCCTTAGAAGTACTTTTTTCTTCTCTAGACGCTCCCTTGCACCATACACACTTATCTAACCACCTGTTTGGAGCTTCCAGGGGCTACCTTGAACACGCCAGTCATGAAGCCCTAACCATGATGCTCTCTATCCTACCTGGAGATTACTTTAAGGCTATTAACCTGTCATCTAGCTGCAGCTGAGTGAGTGCTGGCTGGCACTCCAGATGGGCAGTAATTCAAGGTAGTCACCTAAGTGAGACCTGCCTCCTGTGTGCCTCCCACACACTCCCATATCCACTTTCCCTTTTAAGCCCCTACCCTCAGCCTAAGAGGTGACATGCTTTCCTGGAGGCATGAGCTTGACCATCTCCTCAATTGCTGGCATTTGAATAAAGCTACTTTCTTCCCACCACACCTCGGCTTCTCAGGTGCTAAGCAGATGAACTTGTCTGTAACATTTAAAGTTTTGGGACAAAGTAACACAATATCAAAGCTAAAACGCCATTTTCCTTCCTTTTCAGTCTCTTTCACTTTTCTGCCAGCACATCAGGCAGCACAGATGGCCAGGATGGCACAGCAAGTGTCCAGCAAGCAAACCCTCTTACTCCCAAGCAGTGGGCACTACCCAGGAGATTTGAACCCAGGCTAGTTTTCCAACAAGCATGATGCTCAAAGAACTGAAACTTAAGAAACTTACATTTGTACCTGCTGCCTACTGACCAGCTTATCTTCCTTACCCCTCCCTATTCCTGTTTTTCTACATGTGGTTACAGTGAGATGCTAGACTCCTCATTTGACTACCTCCCACCTGTTGATGCTTCTTCCTTGCCCCTCCTGTTTTCCTTCCCAGCTATATACTGAAGGGCGTCCCCAAGATGTTGCTGCCACCCAAGACAACAAAGGCCCTAAGCTCCGGCTTTTCCCATGCGCACGAAGTTTAAACCTGTGCGTGAGTATTTTCTCCCTATAGGAATACTACCTCATAGTCTCTTCCAATAAAGCCCAAACACGGCACTGGCCAGCCCCTGCCAAGCCCATAAATACAACCCTCTCCCTGCATAACTCTCTCCCCCCCCTTGCCCTCTCTCCCCCCGCCCTCCCTCCCCCTCTCTCTCTCTCTCACTCTCCCCCTCTCTCTCTCGCCCTCTCTCCCCCTCTCTCTTTCTCTTGCCCTCTCTCCCCC